TATGCCCAGAGTGGAAGTTTGGCAAGAGCTCCATTACCTTGGCTAGGTAGGCCGACATAGCAGACTCCCGAGCCTCATATTGTCCATTCACTTGGTTGACTCTTAACCACGAGTCACTGCACACTACGAGATGCTTAGCCCCACCTTCCTTCGCTCGTGATAGCCCGGTTATCAGTGCCCCATATTCAGCTTCGTTGTTCGAAGCTCGAAATGCGAACCGGAGGGCGTATTCCAACTTCACCTCGCTTAGTCCATAGAGAATTAGCCCACGAGCCGCTCACATGGAGGATCCAGGGCTCCTCATCCCAGGCCGAGGCTTCCTGAGCTGGGACTGGTGCCGCACTGATTGACGCCTCTGAAGTGGTAACTAGCTTGGCAACTTCAGGGGTCGGCAAGCTGAAGGTACACTTGACAACGAAATCTGTCAAGACATGCGCCTTGATTGCTGGTTGCAGCTCAAACCAGATGTTGTATTCGTTGAATTCAATTGCCCATTTCGTAAGTCTCCTTGAGTCCTCGGGTTTTTGGAGGATTTGCCTCAAAGATCGGTCGGTTAAGACCACAATAGTGTGGGCCTAAAAGTAAGGTCTTAACTTTCGGGCTGCTAACACTAAAGCGAAGGCCAGTTTTTCAATGTCCGTGTACTTAGTCTCAGTGGCATGTAGGCACCTTGCTTACATAATACACTGGTCGTTGTACCTTTTCTACTTCCCTAATAAGGACCGAGTTGACTACCTCGTCACTCGCAGAGAGGTAGAGCTTAATCTCGTCCCCTAGCTCGGGTTTGGTCAACAAAGGTGGCAAACTTAGGTACCTTTTTAGCTTGTCAAAGGCGAGCTGACACTCTTCGGTCCACTCAAAGTCTTGGTTCTTTTTTATGGCTTTAAAAAATGGTAAACACCGACCAGCCGACTTAGACATAAATCGGTTCAGGGTGGCTATTTGGTTGGTTAGTTTTTGTACTTCTTTTATTGACTTGGGAGGTCTCATGTCTAGGATTGCCTGGATTTTTTCTGGGTTGGCTTCGATGCCACGTCGACTAACTATGTACCCGAGGAACTTGCCTGACGTATCATCGAAGACGCATTTGTTCGGATTGAGTTTCATGTTGTACTTTTTTAATACATTGGAAACGCAGCCTAGGTCAACAATTAGAGAGTTAGAAAACTTAGTTTTTACAACCATATCATCTACATAACATTCCACTTTATTGCCAATTAAATTTGAGAAAACATTGTTTACAAGGCGTTGGAAGGTCGCCCCAGTGTTTTTTAGGCCTAAGGGCATGCCTTTGTAACAGTACAAGCCCATTTCAGTTATAAACGCTGTTTTTTCATCGTCGGCTGGGTCCATCGAGATCTGGTTGTATCCAGAGTACGCATCCATGAAACTCAATAGTTCGAACCCTGAGGTCACATCTACCAGGCGGTTGATTCTTGGAAGTGGGAAGCTATCCTTTGGGCAGGATCTGTTAAGGTTTGTGTAGTCGACGCACATGCACTACTTGCCATTGGATTTCTTCACAAGTACTAGGTTTGCAATCTAATTCAAATATTGGATCTCTCTAACGAAGTCTGCTGTAAGTAGCTTGCCTACTTCCTCGTCTACTATCTTCCATCTTTTTGAGGCGAAGTTCCTTTTCCTCTGTCGGATTGGTTTGACTATGGAGTCAACATTAATTTATGAGATTTGGGGTCTATGTCGGGCATTTCTACTGCCGACCAAGCAAAAACATCTAAGTTATTGAGTTGAAAGCTTACCAAATTGGAGCGCACTAGTTCAGTTAGGTGAGCTCCTATTTGTATTGTCTTCTCTGGCTCGACTTCTAAGACCGACACTATGATAGTGTCTTCCATTGGACGAGCTCCCTCGTCGATGTTCTTCGGGGGTGGCTCCAAGTCAACGTCAACGGCTATTTTGCCTTTGGCCTTCAGTGTTGCTACGTAACATTTGCGAGATTCGAGTTGGTCGCCTTGCATGACTCCGATGCCTCCAACAGTCATAAACTTTACTGCTAGGTGGTAGGTTAACACTACCGCTTGAAGAGCGTGCAGGATAGGTCGGCCCAGTATGGCATTATAGGGGGAGGGTGTGGCAACCACTAGGAAGTCGTGATCAAACCAGACCAGGTTGGGGGCTGAGCCTACTACAACCAGTACCCTCACTCGGCCAAGGGGTCGAACCACTACTCGTTGAAGCCAACCAAGGGTATGTCTGCTGGCTATAAAGCTTTTCTGTCGAGCTCCATTCGCTCGAATGCTTCTTGGAATATGATGTCGGTCGAGCTTCCCAAGTCGACCAAAATTCTTTTAACTTCAAAGTTATTTATCGTCAATTTTACTACTAGAGCATCATCGTGCGGATACTGTATGTCATGCGTGTCATCTTTGGTAAAATAGATTTCCTCTTCTCGGCGAGGGCGTTTTGGCAGGTTATCGGTGTCATGCTCAAGGTCTCGAACTGAGTTTCTTCCCTCCAAGGTAGTACACCCTGCTACAAGTGGCCTGCCGGTGATTATGTTGATGACCCCCTGGACGGGCCACTCTAGTTGTTGCTAGTCTCGGGGAGCTTGGTCTCTTTCTTGCTCCTTGTTGGTTTGGGCTGCCGCCCTGCATTGCTCGGCAAGTAGGCCTGCTTCATCTCTCTTGATGAATTTCCATAGGTACCCGCAGAAGATCAGTTCTTTGGTCTCGTCTTTAAGGTTCCTACAGTTCTTAGTATCGTGACCAATGTCACGGTGGAAATGGCAATATTTATTTGGGTTTCTGTTTGCTGGGTCGCCCTTCATCCTGGGTGGCCAGTTTACATATTCAGCTGTTTTTATTTGCATTAAAATATCGCCCCTTTTTGCATTTAGGGCGGTATAGGTCTTATTATACACAGGTGGGGTTTAGGACCGTTGGCCTGATCCTGAACCCCGATGGGGGGACCATTGGACTAGTTAGAGACCTGGTTGGGGATTTGACTAAGAACCCGAGCAGGAGCCGGGTTATGGTTCAGCCCGGCATTCTGTTGTTGTTGTATCCAGGGATGTTGTACTCGCTGGTTCTGATGTTATTGTGGTTGTTTCTGCCCCTCATTAGGGTGGCGAACTTGTCCTCCCAGGCTCTCATCTGGTTGCTCATTCCCCAGACGCATTGCACCAGGTCATAGAACTGGCACACGTCAACCCCAATGGGAGCCACGGCAGGCTCGACCACAAGAGGAGGCGCGTTCACATGAGATGGTGCGGTGGTCGGGTTCACAGTGGGTGGGACTATTGATGGAGTCAAGGGTATTTCGATATGTCCGATGGTCACCGAGGGTACTTCTAGGATCATTCCGAGCTATTTGTAACTCCCTGTGACTTGGTTATTGTTGTTGTTGGAGGGTTGGTTGCTTGGTGGTTCCATGAATATTAGTATAGGGTATTCGAAGGGTGAGAACTTAGCTTCTTGTAGCGTTTCCCACAGACGGCGCCAATTGATGTAGCGCGTGTTATGGGCCCACGCGTAGGATCTCGTCACGGGTTGGTCCATGCTTTCTCCCCGTGGCAAACAACTCGGACGCCTAATCAGATGCTTGTAATCAATGGCCAAGCTGAGATAGTCGAACTGTATAGTTCTGCAAAAGGAGAGAGTTACAGTGCCTGGATTGTTTTACCCAGGATGGGAACTCTGATGCATAAGTCAGTGAGGGTTTTTTAGAATGCTTTAAGTGGTTAGAGTATGCGAGAGCTTAATCACGCGTACCTCTTCAGGTAGAAATGAGGCCTTTATATGGGTGTGAGTACTCAGGGACCTTCCTGTAACGGGTCTCTGGTTCTCGCAGAGCCGTTCCCGTTAAGTCGGGGGAGTAATGACGTCGACTACGTAATTTGCGCAAAGGGTTAAGGTCCGTCCGATTGGTTCTGATGCACATGATGCGGGTAGGCCGGCCTAACGGTCGACTCATTAATATTCCGGAGAACTCGGTCTGGCAACGGATCTATGTGACAAGTCAGCGAGTGTGCCTCGTAGGTCATTGATAGTACTTTCCTTACCTCGGCCTATCCCCGAGGTAGGTCGCTCCTTAGTCGGAGGTCCCCTCAGGTCGACTGGGCTGAGGTACTTTTAGGTCGGCCCTGTGAAGAGCTTCCAGCCGACCTGCCGAGGTGATCAGCCTACTCAGCGCCGAGGTGTCACTTGGAAGCCATGTGTCATGATGTCATCCAGAGGACCAAATTACTGTAGATCAGGAAATGCAATAAAAAAAGAAGGGGGTATAACGTGTTTGGGTTAAGATGGCATACCTAGGGTTTGCCAAATCTATGCTGGACCTGTAGAAAAAAAAACAACTCACAGACATAGTCAGCAATGGATGCATAAGAAAAAAAGAGGAAGGTGGAGTGTGGAGCTCACCTTGCGGCTAGGGTTTGGAAGTGCGGTGAATCGATTGAATAGAAAGCTAAATTGTGAGAAAGCCAAAGTAATATTTTTGGACTTCTGGGAATCGGCCCTAAACAGTCTTTTACTTTGAGTACTTTGGCTTCCCAAAGTAACTTCTACCAAGTAAGAAAATCTTTTTTTTTTTTTTTGCTCTTTGGACTTTCAGAAGCTGAAAGTCCAAAAGCAAAAGCTTATCCATACACTTTCATACTTAATTATATATATAATTATATGTAGTCAGTTCACGACTTATCACCAATCCCGACCCAATTATAATTGAGAAACATAATACAGAACCAGACCCTATATAATTGGGTTAATTCAGTTCGGATTTGTTGGGTCTGACCCACTGACATCCCTAATAGTGAATGATAAATTTGGCTTAACCAGGCAAGTAAGCTGAGTTTAATTGGGGTACTGCTCAAAATGTAAATATAAATAAGAATTTATATTTATATTGACAAAAAATATAAGTAATAACCCATCAATATTGACAAAACATGCAAGTAATGTGATGCTTTGCACAAATCTACTCTATCATTTTGTCATGTACAACTAATGCATGGAGTTTGCTTCAATTGGGCTGTGGTGCAGATGTGTGGTGGCATATGCTTCAGATCTTATATTTCTTAATGTTAGTCTGAATCCTCATCGTAAAAGGGGTTTGAAGATGTCATCTCTTAGTTTGGATCACTCGTAAGTCTCTCAGATCCTTTTCTTTTTATTTTTAATTACATATGATATTGGAAGTAACAGGTGCATGCATTTCCCTGAAGCAGTATATTGTGTCTGGACAGCAATATTCACAAGCAAGAATCCAGAAACTAGTTTTCTTACTGAGATTGCATGGTTTTACAAAATAATGAGAACTTTTATTTTTTTGAGCTAAAACATCTTCTGACTTGTGAATCACAGAAATTTTGGTAGTTGTCCAGCTTTATTCATTTGAACTTAAGACCAAATACAAAAGTAGCTTTGAGTTGGATAGCCTGTCACTTTATTTTTTGTTTGTTGTGCTTAGTTTTAGCCTCTGCAAGGTTGGTTTGGCTTTTCTTCTTGCATTAAGATACTTGGGGAAATTAGTAAATCCTTGATATTCTACAATTGACACTTAAAATGAGAGAATATTGTTATGCTTAGTGCAGTATGACATTGTCAGTGACCAAAGTTGTGTCAAGAGAAATAGATTATCTCCTAAGACAACATGGTGGAACAGTCACTCGTACCCATATTACTAGAGAACCTAAAACATGTGAATTTTTGTTATCCCACCCTAAGCTATTTGGGATATCCAAGAAGAAAGGCAAGTTCAACCAAGGTGGTCTACACTTTGAGGCAGGGTAGAAATGTCAGTTTTCGTTATGTATATCATAGTGAGCCCACTCATATAGGTGCCAACCTGGCAGGTGCTATTTTTATGCTTATAGGCCTGCCATTTTTTAATAGATGAGTTCCAGTGCACCATTTCCTGAACATCATATTATGTCTAGAAGCATTGAAGTCCATGATTTTAATGTTTTCCCTATGGACATTAATGGTGTTTGGTATTATCATGTGCTTGATTAGAACTATTGTTTATGAACACTTCTTTTGTCTATCAGGATGTGGTTTCATAGACCCTTCAGAGCTGATGAGTGGTTATTATATGTGGTAAGTACCAGGAAGAAAAAGTTATTGTCTGTAGCATAGCAGTTTTCTATCCTTCTTGTATCTTAATCATGATTATTCAAGATGACATAAACCCACTGTTATATAGATTGATAGCCCTTCTGCCAATAATGCTCGTGGTTTCTGTTTGGGCCGCATATTTAACAGGAAGGGAGAGGTAAATGACATTCTACCCATACATAAGAACCTGATGATGTTACATATGATTTTCTTTCCACGCTAGTCTGTATTAGAAGTTGAATTTGTCCATGTGGATATGCAGCTTGTTGTCTCATTGGTGCAAGAAGGTCTAATTAGGAAGGCCAAAGCACCAGATGCAGTACCAAGTTCAAAGCTGTAAATAGGTGAGGGATTTGATCTCTGCAATATTTTGCCGTAAAAATATAGATACTCTTTTGATGTTTTAGAAAGTCAGTTTTTTTCTAAACAAGATTCTATTCCATGCACCATTGAGTATGGGAGATGTAACTTAAAATAGAACAAAACTGACAAAACACAATTGAATATATGATGAAAATACAGAACTACCCTTACTCAGTCGACTCTAACACTCCTCAAGTTGGAGATTATATGTCATATAGTCCTAGCTTGTTACAAATATAATTCACTCTTCCTAAACTAAACCCTTTTGCAAACAAGTTTGCCCACTGATCACCTGAAACTCACATGCTCTATGCTTATCACTCCAGTAAGGACTTTCTCTGTTACAAAATGGCAATCAACCTCCATGTGTTTTGTCCTCTCATGAAAGACTGGATTAGATGAGATTTGGAGGCAGCTTCATTGTCACAGTACAATTTTATAGGTTTGTTCATTGAGAATCCAACTTCCTACACAAGATTTTTTAACCACTAACTCACATGTAGCGTGATTCATGGCTTTGTATTCAGCTTCAGAACTACTTCTTGCAACAATAGTTTGTTTCTTACTCTTCCATGCCACATGATTTCTTCCAAGAAAGGTGCAATAACCTATAGTGGACATTCTATCAGACACCAAGCCTGCCCAATCTGCATTCGTATAGCCAATTATTTCAAGACTTCCTCCTAGCTTGTACGCGATTTGGAGCTCCCTTCAAATATCGCACAATTCTAAGAATTGCATCCCAGGGAAGGAATCAGGGGTTTTGCATAAATTGGCTTACTACATTAACAACAAAGGAGATATCTGGTCTAGTAATAATTAAGTAATTTAGCTTTCCCACTAACCATCTATGTCTTCTAGGATCATCAAACATTTTACTTGCATCACTATTGAACTTAACATTTGGTTACATTGGTTTTTTAGCTAGTCTTACACCTAACAGTCATGTTTCTTCCAATAGATCAAGGACATATTTCCTTTAGCACAAATTTATGCCTTGTTTTGACCTGGCAATTTCTATACCCAAGAAATATTTCAACTTCCCAAGATCCCTTGTCTGGAAGTGATATTGTAGAAAGACCTTTAGTAAAATCTTCCCGGCTTCAAAATCATAGCTGAACACTGAGTGGTCAACTTGACATTTGTCTCATTTCAAACTCTTACACTACTTCACTGAACTTGCCAAACCAAGCACAAGGAAATTGCTTCCGCCCATAAATTGCCTTCTTGAGCTTTTACACACCTTATCATCCTCCCCCTGAGCAACAAACCCTAGTGGTTTCTCCATGTAAACGTCCTCAAGAAGATCACCATGGAGGAAGGAATTTTTAATTTCAAGCTAAAACTATGGCCAATCATACATAACTGCTAATGAGATCACTGTTTTAAAAACCAAACTCAACCAGACAGTTGGGCCATTTGACCTGGGAACTGGTTGTGTTCCTAGGTCCATTTTTAGATTAGGCTGCTTTTTTGAAAAAAAAAAAACGTTGAATTGGTCAGAGAACCACTGACCCGAACAGTCAAACTTCTAAACCATTCGACTCGGGCAGTGGTTTGTGGTTTAAAAAGGAGATTAAGAGATGGGGGAGGAACTGAGAGAAGATCTCAGATCTGAGATGATTGAGATCTGTGAGAGAGAGAGAGAGAGAGATTAGATAGAAAAAGAGAGGCTAAATCTAAGATAAGAGAAATGAGAACTCAAATCTCTCAAATCTAAGATTAGAGAAAGAGAGAGCTATCGCCATCACTGTCACCATCGTCATCACTCTGGTGAACGTTGTCTCTTTTCTTTCTTTCTTTCTACTTGAACCGTTCGACCCAGATAGTCGAACTGATTACCCGGAAACCTAGATAGTCTTACCTACAGGAAGATTGGTGCACTCCCACATGTGGTTGTTTAAGAGCAGAGAGTTCCTCTTCCATAGCTTGACGCCACTTTGATGAGATAAGAGCTTCCTCGACATCCTTAGGTATAGATATAAATGACAATAGAAAAACAAACTGGTGATGCAAAGTGGAAAGATGAGGGACAGCAACATGATTCGAAGTACAACTATGTTTACCTTTCCACGATGTAATGGGAAGATCAAGTTCAAAAGGAGGAGGCAACATTGGGGAAGGAGCAACTACGAGATCCACTGATGAAGTAGAAGATGGAGGAGGTGTTGGTGTTTGTCAATTAGTATACATTTGCACGAGAAGAATGGCACAGGATTCACCTTCGATCAAGTTCAGAAGGTGGTCATTCAGTATGATTCTGCACTAGAGGAGGTGAAGGCTTAGTATAACAAGGACAGCCGGAATGGGATCATTATTTGGAAGAGGAAGGGGGATCACTGGAGACAAGGGAGACACATCAAGACCCGAGAAGAATGGCACTAAAAATGTGACATCCGAACAAACAAATGACTTCCGAGTGATAGGATTATAGCACTTGTACCCTTTCAGGGTCTTAGAATAAAAGATACACTTAGTAGAACGTGCATTGAACTTATCTAAGCTAGGACCTAGATTATGAACAAAGCACACATACCCAAAGAACTTGGGAGTCAAAGGATATGGAAACAAAGTGGGGAACAAAATAGAAAAGGGAGAACGACCACTAAGGATGAATAACGGCATTCAATTAACGAGAAAACAAGCCATAAGCACTGTCACTCCAAAACCATTTAGGAACATTCATATGATGAAGAAGGGACCGAACTGTCTCAAGTAAATGACAGTTCTTCCTTTCAACGACCCCATTTTGTTGGGAGATGGATACCCAAGAACTCTGATGAATGATGGCATGTTGCTCCAAATAGTGTTGAAATGAAGTAAGAAAGTATTCTCTACCATTATCTGAATGAAGAACTTTTATTGGAACACCAAATTGCATATGTATTTCAGCAAGAAATTTTTGGAAAATAAAGAATCAATAATTAACTCCTTTTCTTCATTAAATAAATCGATGTCATCCTTGAACAATCATTAACAAAAATGACAAAATACTTGTAACCATTATAGGACTCAATTCTAATTGGACCCCAAACATCTGAATGGACTAAAGCAAAATGACTCAACATACAACTATCAACCCTATTAAAGGAAACCCGATGGGGGTTCCTATACTAACATGACTCACACTACAAAGAAAAAAGATGACTCGATGAAGGAACAAGTAGCTTGAGTGGGCTATGTAGATCATAATAGAAATTAACTATGTCCATCCATTCCATAATGCATACACTTTCTAGTAGTGCTATCTCTTCCTCTACAATGGTCTCCCCCTAAGTCACAACCTCCAGGACTTCTACTACCACGACCAAACATGGGGCTACCACGACCTCCTCTTGATACAACAAACACTAATCTATCAAAGTTGTGGTACTCTCTGTAGGTCCTAGAGAGATCCTAAAGAGACAAGCAAACACTTCCTCAAGAGTAGGAAGGGTAGATCCACCCAATATCTGTGCTCTGATTGGTTCATACTCTGACTTCATCCCCACCAAGAACCTGGTTACATCAAGTTGCTCCCTTTGTTGCTGAATTTTGACATCTAAAGTTAAGAGATGATAAACATTGAGCTTGTTCCAACTTTAATAAAGTAAGAAAAGGTGAAGAAAAGGATAGAAGAAAGAAAGAGAAGAAGATAGGAAGAGAAAGGGAAGGGAAAGAGAAGAAAAGAGGGAAGACTAGAAAGGAGAAATTTGTTCACTTCTCCTTACTGTCAACCCAGGTTGTATTAGCATTCTATTAAGGCTGAAATGACTATAATAGCCTTAGGAATGTTACAACAAATATAAGAGAGAAAGAATAACATGAAAAAGACAATATTGCCCCTATTAACTATTTCTGAAAATTCGAACACTCTCCCTCGAGCTGGAGCATATATATCATAAAGTTCTAGCTTGTTACAAATATAGTCCATCCTTGTGCAACCCACACTTTTAGTAAAAATATCAGCTACTTGGTCTTCAGATTAAACATAGGGAGTAACAACCTCTCCACTTGTCACTTTCTCTCTCACGAAATGGCAATCAACTTCAATGTACTTAGTCCTTTTATGAAACACTGGATTAGAGGCAATATATGTTGCAGCTTGATTGTCACAAAACAATTTAATGGGTTGATTGATTGTGATATTCATCTCCAGAAGAAGATGCTTAAACCAGACTGACTCACGGGTAGTATGGGCCATTGCCCTGAATTCAGGTTCAGCACTACTCCTAGCAACTATGTTATGCTTCTTGTTCTTTCAAGTAACAAAATTTCCGCACAAGAAAGTACAATAACCTATTGTAGACTTCCTGTCCATCGGAGACCCTGCACAATCTGCATCTGAGTACCCTATCAAAGACATCTCCTTTCTTATACAAAAGCCCTCGACCAGGAGCACCCTTTAGATACTTTAGCACCCTCATAACACCATCCCAATGAGTAGTTGTTGGATTCTGCATGAACTGACTGAGGACTCCTACACTAAAGGAGATGTCAGGCGTAGTGATGGTAAGATAAACTAACTTGCCTACTAGTCTCCATACCTTGTAGGGTCTTCTAATGGCTCCCCTTGACTATCAGTCATCTTCACATTGGGATTCATGGGAGTTTCAACTAGCATGGATCCTAACAACCCAGTTTCATCCAATATATCTAAAACATACTTTCTTTGGGACAGAGAGATTCCCCACTTCATTCAATCTACCTCAATTCCAAGAAAGTACTTCAAGGTTTCTATTAATTTGAAAGTGTTGCTATAGGAACTATTTCAATTCATCAATCCCATGTGTATTATTGCCAATGAGAACAATATCATCAACATACACTGCTAGAATGATCTTCCCAGATGAAAAGTTTCTACTAAGCACAGAGTGATCAACACTGCATTGTTTCAAGCCAAAATCTTACACCACACTACTGAAATGATCAAACCATGCCCGCGATGATTGCTTCAGCCCATAGATAGCCTTCTTTAATTGACACACCTTTTCTAACTCCC